GCTTCAATAAAATGTCGACAGAATTCTCCGATATTCTCACTTCGCAAAATGGTAATTTCGTTTTGAAACCTTCAATTTTGCCAGTCAGTTTTAAGGAGGAACCTTGTGTTCTTTTGAGAATCTAGGGAGAGCCTAATTTATAAAAGAAAGAAGAAATTCAAATAATGCAGTGTGCTGCTGTAATCATCATCTTGAAACAATATTTCCAGCAGGGTTTTCACTCTCCAGTAAACAGCGAAATTAGAAAATCCTTCGGAGCGGCTCCCTGTCTCCATTTTCTCCAAAGGCGAATTAAGGTAAATGGAATTTAGGCCACTGACTTCCAGAATGTTATGGATTCATTCAAATTCCTTTATTGTCATCATATCCCGCGGACGAATTCAACGAGTCTCATGGCAGTATCCTGATCTACTTTGACATAAAGGTAAGAATCACAGTCAGCCTTCAGACAGAACCAGTTAAATGGTGGGATTTCGCATGGATAGCACAGAGCAGGTGCTTCCGTCGTGTCCTACCTGTAAATGTAAGATTATTTCTGTACTTCAAGCACAGCACAGGTGAAGCTGTGAGCCGTGATAGCGTAGTCGGTATAGCGACTGGCTGCGGGCTGCACGGCCGAGGGCTCGGATTTCGAGTCCCGGTAGGGTGAAGAATTTTCTCTTCTCCATATTGTCCAGACCGGCTCTGGGTTTCACCCAGCCTCCTATCCAATTGGTACAGGGGGATCTTGCCCCGGGGGTAGAGCGGCCGATGCGTGAAGCTGGCCACTCACCTCCAGCCAGTGCCAAGGTCATGAAAATATGGATCTATACATCCATTCCGCCATACGCCTTCATGACGTACTGCTTAATTAGTTAAGCACAGGGACTTCACTTTTATCTCACAGGAGAAGCTCTGCACACCCTTGCCGAGCAAGTTGGCCCAGACGGGAATTATTGTGACTTTTTCTGGAGGTACCCTGCTCGAATCTCGGTCGGGACACGGATCATCCTGGCAGGCTTTTCGTAGCTTTTCCTCAGCTCCTACAGATAAATACAGGGGCAGAGGATATGAGCTCTTTCATAGTCTGTCTTATTCATTGTTCATTATAATGGAGCTGAGGTTCTTAAAGAGGCGACTGAAGAGTTCTCTGCTTTCGGGTATAACGCCATGAAATCCACCTAAAATCGGTCGACGTTTCAGAGGCACATTACGTGTGTCACACTAAAGATATCATAGTCTATTTTCAACGACTTATTTATTATTATTGAACATTTTTTTACATATTTCAAAAAGTCTGACGAAATTGCGTGCCGTGCTTCATATAATAAATAAGCTCGCCCCTATTGCAAAGTAACGTTTTATGAATGTAGCCGGAGTTCCTCACATGTTGGTTCGTTAACCGTCTCAGTTACTGTTTCGTTTATTTTATTTAATATTTATTCGGTTTTAGCGTATTATTCGACACTATTTAAAATTCTTAAATGTTGTATTTGATACAGAGTGATTCGGCTTTTAATTTGAGACTATGCACTTCAGCACCCTAAGGAGCCCGAAGGAATTATCAGATAGGCTGATGTCGTCTCTTTCGAATTGCTGCAATCTTGTATAATGTCTCCAAAGCCAGTTCTTACAAGTTGCTGTATTCTAACGGGTGGGTTCTGTATTCTGAAATTAATACTCCCAGGAGAATGTCGTCACCTATCTCGAGTGTTCAACGTCACATAACTTTCGAGTATCTAATGTTTTATGCAGGTTACGTTTTGCAATCTTATGTACATAGTAAGGGATATTGCAGTCGGTATAGCGACTGGTTACGGACTAGACGAACGAAGGGTCGGAGTTCGAGTCCCGATGGGGTCAAGAATTTTCTCTTCTCCAAGTCGTCGAGACTGGCTCTGGGGTCCACCCAACCTCATATCCAATGGGTACCGGGGGCTCTTTAGCCGGGGATAAAGCGGCAGGGGCGTCAAGCTGACCACTCACCTCGAACTAGTGCCGAGGTCAAGAAAATGTGGATCTATACACCCACTCCCCATACGCCTTCATGGCGTAGTGCTTAGTTAGTTAAGCAGAGGGACAACTTTACCTTTGTACACGTACATACTAGACTGCTTTTGCCCATTCTACATCCTCATCTGACGTGTAGTGGAGTGCCTGTGTTGTAGAGTCGCTGAGAGGAGACTGAGATCAGAACAATTTTCATACCCATTGTGTTGAAGGAAAATCGACCATGTCGATAACGTGAATCAGGCTTCAGAGTGGTTCACTAACGCAAAAGTGACTGATGTGATCTATTTAATGTTTTGAATATAGAAGTCTTGTGCACGAACGGAGCACTTCAACATCACTCACTCGTGGATCTGAGCCCTTCTTGAGAAGCTGCCAATTGCGCAGCTACTCAAGAACTTCCCAGCATTTCATGGTATCCGAAAGTTAATTACCGTGTTGACAAGAGCCCTCCACTGGTCCCTATCCTGAACCAGATCAATCCAATCCATCCCATCCCATCTATCACTCTAAGCTCTATTTTAATATTGTTCACCCACCTACGCCTTGGTCTTCCCAGTGGACTCTTTCCCTCTGGCTTTCCCACAAATATCCTACATGCATTCCTCTTTTATCCCATGCATACTACTACATACGCTGCTCATCTTATCCTCCTGCAATTTATTATCCTAATTATACTTGGAGAAGAGTACAAGTTATGAAGCTCCTTATTATGCAGTTTTCTCCAACCTCCTGTCACTTCATCTCTCTTCGGTAGAAACATGTTCTTCAACATGATTGTGGTAAAATGGAAATTGTTATACGTGTATCATATATCAAAACTATTTATGTGGAAATATTCTTTGCCGGTTTACTAGTGGCTGAGATGTTTCTTCATATTTCTGCTCAGAATTCAGACTGTGAGTATAAAATAGTATACGCTAGTTTTTAACATATTTTAATTCTATAGTACGTCCAATTAATATACACAATGTAATATTCTGCCAGCATAGCCCTTATTGTCTTAGAAGATGCTAGAAATTCAGGCTGGTATCAGTTATAATCATTAATCTTGATGACTGGCGCAGTTATATTGCATTTGCTATATGTTATCGAAGGTAACCTTCATACTTTTCGCTTTTTCCTTTTATTTCTATTTTGTATACTAATGTACAAGACTATTGGTACTGTAGTGGCAGAGAACGAAACGAAGACAAGATTAAAACTTAAATTTCAAACCTGCTTCAACAAGTAAAGAGGAAATTGAGTAGTTAGTGGAAATTAACCACAGAAGAATATTTCACTTTGTTATTTACATACAGCGCCAAGAAACAGTTCGATTTAGTTGAACATGATTCCGAAATTTATGTTTATCCACGCCCCGAAAACTGCACTGACTAGAATTGGAGTCTGCATGAGTTACAGAAGTGGAAACTGAGATTAAGCATAATCCAACATGCTTTAAACATAATATTTGTTGGACTGAGGTTATCATGGAGGTGACCATGAAGAGCATTTTCTTCTGGATGGTTTAACTCGTAGTTTCGGAGAAAGCCCCATGTTTCCGAGGAACATATCGACACCATCTTCAGGATTAAAAAATGAGTGAAACAAGACACTAAGTGAAGGAGGGGCTCAGTTTGCTGCCTGTTTATCCTGAGATATTATTTGGTCTACTTTCCGACCCTGAATATGCAGGCGATATTTTCCTCCGTATCTTTGGGCCCTTTTAATGCTACACACCGTTGCAGTCCAGAATTCAATATTTTCTTCATGCTATTCGTTTATTAATATTTGTCATTAATTTGCATAATTTGTCATTGTTTTGGCATAGCTCTTTCATGATTTATATCCGTGATTCCAGAAATACAACACTAGGCTTCCTTTATAAATTAAATTTCAGGATTCACTTCCTTGTAATTTCATTCAGCACCAAGTGAGAGTGGAACCACATATAATAATATGAATTATAACCGCTCACTCATTCATGGAGCTTAGCCCTTCTTGAGAAGCTGCCAATTGTGCAGCTACTCAAGAACTTCCCAGCATTTTATGGAACCAGAAAGTTCATTATCGTGTTCACAAGAGCCCTCCACTGGTCCCTATCGCAAGCCAGATCAATTCAATCCATACCATCCCATCATGTTAATTAAGTATAATCAAATATGTAAATGAACTTCCCTTTTCATTGCTGGTTACGGTTTTCTCTTGCTGCAAAATTTTAGTTTAATCAAATTAACTGTTGGTGAAATTAGATTCCCGGAATATGAAATTAATCGACACTGTTCTTTCCGTAAGCAAAATTTAAGCACTGAATTTTATAAAATTTGGATCTTATCTGCTTAATTAATATTCTTCTTAATTGTCGTACTGATTTCATGAAATGTGATAATAGTGCCTGCAGTAAGAATTTATTTCCTTTTACATGAGACGTTTCCTGTTATTTTATACTCGTTAAAATATTAAGAAACGTCAAATAATTTTAATTAAAGTCGTGAATTTTGAAATTAATTTGGATATCCATTTTGAATTGAAACCGCATTTTGTAAAAGTACTGTTACTATAGTTCTGAACTAAATACAAATATTAATCTTACCTTCGATTTTGCGCGCAATAAATTTACGAACATCCGTGATCACCAAGGCTGATGCGTCTTATTTTCTGATTGGTTCAAAATGCTTAAAGATTTCTTCTCAAATAAGACGATATGATAACATCGAGCTTCCTGCTAAAATTCACTTACCTTTCCTGAAATATTACATACGAATTCTGTGTCTTTAAATTCAATAATCACAGGATCTACGCACAAACGTTGTGTTTTACATAACAATTTTCCCTGCATTAAACGTCTTGGTTCTTACACATTTGTGACACCAGATGGCTCTGATATGTTCTCACGACGTTTATCTTTTATTTTTCTGATTCCTCTTCCTCCGCAATATCGACAATAAGAAGCAACCAACCACAACCCTTGAAGTCGTTTTAGAGTTGTTAACGCCCACCACACTCTTTAAGAGAAGAGTCTAGACCTGCAGAATTTCAGTTGCTTCTGTGATCTATGACGCAAGTTAATGTTAAGCGAGAAACTCATCGTTTCCGGTAATGGAACATCCATTTCAGACCTGTAATGCGATAACAGGAGGACCTATTATTAGTTATGTGGCGAGTTTAATATTTGTAGTGGAAGATTTGTTATTGATATGGTGGCAATTCTGAGAGTGGTGTAGAAGAATAATTCTGAATTAATCAGTGATACAGTAAACTGAAAATTAGTTCAACAGCAAAACTTACGGATGTCTTGTGACGGTGTGCTCGTATGGTTGTATCAGTTCATCACATTCGGAATGAATTTTAAGGTGGTTCCTTTAAAACACGTTAATGACTGCGGTCAAATATAATACTCTGTTTGTAAAAGACTGATCAACGACTGTTAGTTAGTTAGTTAGCTAGTTGTGTTTTATAACTGCGTGAACTGCGTACTTCTTTACAAATTAATACTCAATCAGCTTGTCAAGAAATTATCTACTTTTATGGAACCAAAGGCTTGATTGCCGTGTCCACATAAGCCCGCCATTGGTTTAGATCCTGAGGCAGATAAATCCAGTCTATGCCCTGTTCTTATAAACTCTGTTTTAATATTGCTCTCTCATGTACGTCCATTTCTCCTAAGCGGTGTCTTCCAGTCGATTTTCCGACTGAAATTTTTATGCACTCCTCATATACCTGTTAAAAACATAGAATTGTTTTATGTTATCTTTGGTACCAGTAATATAGTTAAACCAATTCGATGCCTCAGAATTATCTAGTTAATGTTTAATTTTGCAGGGCTCTATCTAATACTTGCTAAATTTTTCTACATTCTGTTTTTAAATAAACGCGACTCTTTTAAGAATAATGACTTCTATAGGAAGAGTGTTCATAAAAATTTCGGCTTAATGAGAATAATGGTCGCATTAGTTTCTTAAAGTGATCATTATCCAGCTAGATATGACAACATTGCAGAATTTGCTGACGTATTACTGGAGCCAGTGTCTTAACATTTTTGTGTGTCATATTGTTCAGTGCTTAAAGGATCTGACGGACCATGTTTTACAAACCTTAATCGTAAAGTACCAATGTCATAATTGTTCTGACAGTATTAGTACTGAAGACAAGTTCCATTTTCTACATCTGGATTATTAGGGAATCTAATTTGAGTCTCTTCCTTAATATGTAATTGAAGTCTTATTTTTATCATTAAATGGAGGCTGGAAATTATAATTTTAATTTAAATCTCACAGGCTAACTGAATATGGGTGTTACGTATCCCAAGAGTGTGACTTGCTGTATCTGAAAGTATCAGTAGTTTCATATTAACAGGTCACCAATAATATTTCCTGCATTTGCATAGATCGATACTGCTAGCAGAGTATAATATGGGAAATTTGCAAGTACGGACATACCAATAATTCATAGATGAATTGTGCAATAAAAATCCGTAACTTCAACATATGTATATTCATATTACAATAACATTAATCACAAAGACACAGAATATTCGTTATGAAGTTAGAACACGGAGACTGTGTTCCTTAATTTGATTATTAGTAAGGCTTCCTCGTTATTAAAATTACACCCCGGGACTCTACAGGCTGGGCGACAGAGAAGACGGAGTTCGATTCCCAGGTTGAGATTGTTCTCTTCTCCGTATCGTCCAGACAGACTGTGTGGCTCACCACCCTCCTGCAGAGGGCGTACCGGGGCCGATTTCCCCAGAGGAACAGTGGCAGAGGCGTGAAACTAAGCAGTCGCCTACAAGCAGTGCCGAGGTTAAGAATATTGGAGATATACTTCCACTCCCCCATACGTCTTCACACCACTGTCCTTAATTAATTAAGCCCGGCAATGATTTTACCTTTATCTCTTAACATTATTAGAACTAATTATATGCCCAGTATTTATAAGAACTGGTAGCTGTCTTGAAATGAAAATATTAAGAATGTTGAAATCCAGCCAATGCCGAAGTTTCTTATTAGAATTTTTCATTTATTTTGTTGTTCAATGGAATTAATTTACTCACCTCCAACTAGTGCCGAGGTCAAGAATACGTGGATCTATACATCCACTCCCTCATACGAGTACAATTTCAAGGCGTAGTGCTGAATTAGTTAGGTACAGGGTAAACTTTACTTTCACCTTTTATGGAATTAATATACAATTTCTGCTAAATTTATAGTTTGTTATAATAATCAACATCATAAAACTCTCCAAGAGTTGCATGAATCTCATCAGCCTGTTACCTAAAATCGAATAACCCCCTCCCCACTTTAATGCAACATAAATTTAAGGTTAAAGTGTCCCTGTGCTTAACTGATTAAGCACTATGCCTTGAAGATATATGGGGGAGTTGATGTATAGATCCACATTTTCTCGACCTCGGCAAAGGTTGGAGGTGAGCGGTCAGCTTTACGCCCCGGCCGCTTTTTCCCGGGGAAAGAGCACCCCATACCCATTGCCTAAGAGGTTGGGCGAACCATAAACCCGGTCTGGACGATATGGAAAAGTGAGTATTCTTGACCCTACCGGGACTCGGACTCCAACCCCTCGGTCGTCCAGCCTGCAGCCAGTCGCTATACCGACTGGGATATCCCGGCATCAGTAATTGTCTGTAATACCATAGAGTCATATAACTCCTCGCGGAGTAACATATTTGCTTATTGAAATATTCAGAGTTCGCTGTAGTGGTTCGCATTTTTGCAACGTATTCGGGAGGTACACGTTTCGAGCATTAGTCCTACCAGCTGTCTGAGCATTGTACTGTTTTCCTCTCGTCCTACTGGCAACGGAAGTAATATGCCTAAGAAAATCAGGCTACGCCAGCTTAATCCCTCAGCCTTGTAAAATTACAGTTCTTACCGCATCGTGAGCGTGTCCTTCTGTACACGAAGGAGCGTTTAAATTGAGTAAGAAAGTTAAATATTACCTAAACTGGATCTGGTGATTATATAATTGTACTTAATTAGTGAAATGGACCGTATTTACTGTACGGGTTTCGACGCAGTTCTGTGAGATACGAAACTTCCGCGAAAAGCAAACCCTTCTTCATGGTAGAGTACTTACAGTTTTCCAGTGACAGCTTCAGGTAGCTGATGGGAAATCCAGAATTATAACAGAAGATTCTATATGAATTCTTTATTGCACTAAACTCTTAGTCTATCCGGAAATTAATTCTGTGCCAGTGTACAGTAACAGCAGATCCAAAACTTAATCCACTCTGTATCCAATAATATTGTGAGATATTTTTAAAAAGGTTGATTTTTTTTTGAGGGGCTCAACATATTTCGCAAATAATCTGCGAGTCGGAAGTAATTATTAATTATTTTTAAAAAATTCAAACACGTCTTCTTGCAGGTAGGTCCGGAAATTTTGTTGTAAACCTGAGCAGAAGCTTCTAATTCTAAAAACACTTGTAACGAAGAAATTTTGCAGACATTTTGCCATACTATTCCCCGACTATGACGGAAGGAGCTACCAAATTGAATCAAGTCTCCGAACACGTAAGTCTCTCACGGTTTCACAGATTAATACATCAAAGTAACGAGATTTCGAGAGCAACACATAACTTGTAGTTGAACATTAAAAACACTGGGTATTTTTATGCGATGAACTGTGTACTTGTGCTGGGGGGCCACAGTGTTGAGCGCTTCTAATACTTGCGGTTGAGGAGGGGCGGGAGGGCGTTCCGAAATACCCAGGTATCTCTTCAGGGTCGGGATATGTCGCTAACCTTCACGTACGCTCAGCGCAGCAGTGGCCTATATGAAATGCCTCAAGATGTTAATGGGGGCGATATTGGCGCCAGTCTGGTCAGAAATACCATGGTTACAGTGACGTGAGATTCTACATGTCCATTCGAAGTTGCTGTATGAATTTATAATCGTTACGTAATATAATTTGAATAATTAAACCAGAAAAATTCACGTGCGTAGGACATGAAACACGTATGGTGGTGCATGTACTAACAGCTGGGCTCTGAAATATTGAAATAGCCTATTTTCATATCTCCCAAATAGTCCATGCTCTAAAGACGTTTCGGCTGTTTTTCTGAATGCATATATTATTGCTTGGAGCGTTCATATGAACACACGTGCTCAAGCTGTACTGCTTCTGTCTTGTATAGGGAGTATCGGGTTCGAATACAGGCCGATACACTTTTCTGTTATCACCTTTAGTCCCCACAGGCAAATGCAAATTCGAATTACCATGGCCGCTTCCTTCCAGATCCCTTCAAATTCTTTATTCATTGATGACACATCTTACCATTCGGAGCTACTAACAACTTTGTTAAATAAATCATAAATAAATAAGTTATTACTATTTGTGTCGTCCCAAATCCGCGGACATTCTTGATGTTTCATAACACGCTAGTTTATTTTCATGTTCGGGGATTTTTAGAATCTGCCCAACCCCCAAATTTCAAGACGAATTCGCTGCGCTATGCACTACCTGTCATGCCTGGAAGTTGCATGTTCCCACCCCAACACGAGGACGCGCCACTGTTTGCAGTACAGACTGCGAAACCCAAGTTAGAGACATGTGAGCGCTTGAACCACAGCCTTGGGATCGAATCCGAAGCCCGGATGTATGTTGGCGCCAGGTTCTGGGTCGTGAGTGGATATGATTTGTGAGAATGCCGGATGAGAAAACCATTGTTTGATAGGTAGCGGATATGACTCTAGAAGAGTCAAACGGAGCAGCTTGAAACATTCCATCCTTAGCAGGAACCCAGAATAATCTGAAACGTTTATGAGGTTAGTATTGTAGTTAAGCAATTGGAGTTCATGCCAATGCAGTTGAACTGTCGGTGAGGGAATTTTGTTTCAGTTATACTGGCCCTTCGTCTTTCATACCCAGAAGTCAAACATTTGATTGAGTAATTTATTTTTATACCGTAAATTTCTAATGTACATCTATAATGCATCTGTGCGTATATTGTGTTGATTGAAAGCAGAATAAAATTATCGTAGAACAGAACATGGCGCCACAGTTCAATATGTCTGATTCAGGAAGATACTTGATTACTACCTTTGCTCGCTCAGACGCTGGGATCATGAGTTCGGATCCTACTCAGGGCATGGGTGTTAGAGGTGTGTATGCGTTTATTCTGTGTTTATGCTGTCCTGTGTTTAGGTAGCGGTCTTGCGACGGACTGATAACTCGTCCGAGGGGTCCTACCATCTGTGAAAAACGATTACGGAACTGAATAAGAGGAAAGGGCCTGGAATGGGCTGGAAGATCCATCGAAAAAGAAAAAATTAACCAGTAAGATATTCAATGAATTGATTAGTCGGCTTTTTAATTGTTTAGTTAAACAGATACATTGTTGGTTAGTAGGTCTGTTACATCTTTAACAATTCATTAGTTTTTTGGACAGTTGCTTATTTATTTGATAATTTGTTCAGGTTTATTTACTCAGTTTGTTAAGTATTAATTTAGCTGAATACTCATGTGGTCTGTTAAATCTGTTAAATATTTAGTTACTTACACAGTTGGTTGTTAAATTAATTGATTGGTTGTCGGTCAGTTGATTAGTTTATAATGCAGTTGTGTAGTTGGTTTGTTATACATTTATTTATGCAGTTAATTACTGACAAATAGTTAATTATTGAGTTATTTGGTCAGCTGATTGTTTGTGCATGGCCGTCCTTTGTTGCGGCTCGAATTGTAAAACTCGTAGAATGAAGGAACAAATACGGGTGCAATGCAGAAGCTATTTTAAAAAGACAGAAACAAATACAATCTTGAAGCAACAGAAGACAGTAAAACATAGAGATACTTCCTAGAATTTATTGTACTTCTTTCGTGTATACATATATAATATACTTGTATATAAAAATTTCAGACATGATGGTGTATACCATTAGTTAGTTAGTTAGTTAGTTAGTTAGTTAGTTATTGGAGAGGGTGGGTTTCCCCATGCACTTAGACCTGTATTGGTCCATTGTGCTTCCCTCTATGATTTCTACCAGTCTCTATATCCTACCGGTACTGGTGCTTACCATCAGTCCCGCCCAGCCAGCGAGACCGGCTCTACTAGCTGAGAGGTATCTATAATGCTTCCCCCATCTACCAGAGGTATTAGAGACTGCTGTTGGGCGGGAAACGTCCGTAATTTGGCTCAGTGACCTCCTTTGGAGATATGAGGTTCTTTTACGTGCCGTAAAGCTACGACACGGGACCCACGGCTTAAAGTCCCTCCCGGAGGACTTGTTCCCTGAATTTTTCCGCCCTTAAAAATTCGACGACCTCCGCCGGGTATTTGAACCCGCGTACTACGAGTCATGAGGTGGGAACGTTACCTCTAGACTACGGAGGCCGCTGTGTATACCATTAAGTCAGTGAGTGACATTTTCCAGGAAAGCAAATGTAACCAGTGGGGTTTATTTGTATACATGCGTCACCAAATTGCGTAATAAATAATTATTTTATTTACTTCTCTCTGTGCATAGACGGGATAGCGTAGTCGGTATAGCGACTGGCTACGTGCTGGACGACCTAGGGGCCGGATTTCGAGACCCGGTAGAGTCAAGAGTTCTCTCTTCTCCACGTCGTCCAGACCGTTTCTGGGGTTCACCCAACTTCCTATCCAGTGGGTACTGAGGGTTCTTTCCCCGGGAATAAAGTGGCCGGAGCGTGAGGCTGACCACTCACCACCAGTCAGTTCGAGGTCAAGAAAATGTGGATCTAGACATCCACTGCCCCATACGCTTTCATGGTGTAGTTCTTAATTACTTAAGCACAGGGACAACTTTACATTTTTACTTCTCTGTACATAGATCTGGAAGCATTTGATGCTGTTACATCTCTCGGAGCTTCTTGCCCCTGTCGCTCCAGCCCACCACATGCTGCCAACACTTAGTGCGTGTTATACCATCTGCCTGAGAGGTTAAACCGCGTTGTTATCGTGAAATCTGTTGAAAGTGAAATTTTGAATTTAATGCATAAGAAAATATAACCCTTGCGTATGCCCGCCTGTATGTTTGTATGCAAGAATTTAAGAACTAAATTTCTCCAGAATAAATTACGTTAATATGGTGTTCTCATTTTCATAAATTTTCTAACGATGCTTTCAGTATTGGGAATACGGACCTATAGCAAGGCCGCGCCATAGCTCAAGCGGTTAGTTGCGGCGGCCCGGGTTCGATCCCGGGTCTGGTCAAGTGGGATTTGTGGTGGACAAACTGGCGCTGGGGCAGGTTTTCTCCGAGTACTTCGGTTTCCCCTGCCAATCTTCATTCCACCAATTGCTCCACAACCACCCTCACCTATCATCTGGGGCTGGTACAATAGGCCAGAAGTGGCCGCAGTACAAGGGACTTAGTCCCATCCCACTAGCAATAAAAAAATAAATAATGGGCCTATAGCATCGGATGATTGAATGGTAGATAAATGAAGATGAATTGGGAAGGATTTAGAAGGATTCGTCCGTGGCATAATCAAAATGTTATCTCGGCATTTGCTTGGGAGGAACTATGGAAAACGACTAAGAATCTTGAAGAATGCCGCACTCTGGAATGTGTCGCCGTGTAGATCTTATGTAAACTGACGTTTCGGAGGAACTTATCGCCTCCATCTTCAGAGTAGAAAAATCCGCGAGCAAGGAACCAGCGTGAGCAGGTGGCTGCAGTCTGTTTACCATTTATTTTACTTCTCATCACTATTTTGACATATAAATATTAGTTGTCAATATTTAGTTCCTTTTCTCCCAATGCGGTTTGGTGCACAAAAACATTCAATTTACTTTCTCAAATTTCATCTCCTTTAGTGCGGGTATGTGAGTATACAGCAGTATGAGATTCCATTACATATACATATATCATGAAAAATGAAAGTTTCCCTGTTAGTTTCGTGAACTAAACATAGACCTACAGATGGACATAACCTCCCCATTTTGTGTTTATTTTATAGACTTAATAACAAATGCGCTAAAAATAGTTGCTCATTAACTTGAAAAAATTAACCGAATTGTTAAACCTACGGGACGTGGTACACATAGATACCTTATTTTTTTTAATTCGCTTAGGGGGGGTGCAGTTCCAACTGGGTCCACTCGCCACAGCGGCCACTGATTGGCTTATTGTGGCCTGCCCCGAGTGGTTATGATGATGGAGAATTTGGTGGAGTGAAGATTGGCAGGGGAAACCGAAGTACTCGGAGAAAACCTGCCCCAGCTCCACTTTGTCCACCACAACTCCCACTTGACCAGACCTGAGATCGAACCCGGACCGCCGCTGTGGAAAGCCAGCGACTAACCGCTTGAGCTATGGCGCGGCCTACACATAGATGCGTTTGCGCCCTCAACTTTTAAAATGTTTGTCAACGTGACAGCTATCAACAGACCTACATCTTCACGTCTTGTCAGTCTTACTTTACATGGTGCAGAGATAATTATAAAAGGTCCGCATGAGTAATATTTCAGAAAAACTGAGAAGGAAGAATAGGGAAATATGAAAAGGAAGATAATTTTTACGTCATGGAGAATTTTCTGTATTTGAGTGACGTGGAGCGATAGGATGTTAAGTCACCTGCGCCGCTCTTGCACCGTAATGCACTGCTGTCCTGGCCGGGATTTCCCTGTGCTATGTATGGAATGCGGGAGCAAGTCTCACTTCGTAATGGTTTCTTCAAGGAGTCGGCGTATTTGGATATTTGATGGGGCCTTCTGCCTTCGAGAAAGAGGAAGAGACTGATCCAGATCATGTTGTTAGGAATTCCTATGACTGTCATTACCAAACGGGGGATTAGTCACTCCGAATTATTTTGGTACGTGGCCATAAAGTTGAGGTACAGCGTGGCCCATTGGATATGCATTGTGCCATGAGTAACAGTCTTAAGATACACAGAAATACCCTGCCAGTATCGCGGTTTGAAACTATCTGCTTTTCTCCATTTGCATTCTCATCTGCCAGCAATGTTTGCCTTTATGTATCCACGCATTTTAAGTTGAGTAATAAAAGAAAAAAACCCATAACTTCCACACCAAGAAATTCACAGCTGTAATGGCATCCCAAACCAGTTTTCTCGCTTCTACATTACCGCCGCGATACATCTGTTTATCATGATTTCTTTTTCATAATTTATGTCCAATATATTTATAGTTTTGTGTCTTTTATATTTAGTGAAAAAATGGACAACTTAGGATTTTATGAGTGTTAATATCTAATGTGGTTCCCCAAATTCCCAGTTTCCTCTAAGTTCTTGCCGCTTGCTCTTTCACTAACTTTCACTACTATACATGGTTTGAAGTTCAACACGACTGTAAATAGTGAAAGTCTTTCTGACGACCAGGCTTGTCAATGTAAAATTACGAGTAGGGTGCAGCTTTTCGAAAACGTCTCCGTCTCCGTCACCCCTTAATGAGAAACTCTCTCCGTCAGGATCACTCATTAATTAGAATCTGTATCCATTTCGATCGCCTCCTGAGAATGAGAGAACTGTTATGTTATGCCTATATTTCTTAAGTTATATGAATTGAGTACTCGTGTCAAAAAGTTACTCTTTTCTTCTCGCATTAAATTCGATCAGAGTGTTGCATGCTTAATCCAGCATTGAAATCTTCCACTTTGGTCAGCAAAACACATCATATACTCTACTCGGTGACTACTAAATTGCATTCTCCCTTCTGTGTCATCATTTCCGGAAAAGATGAGCTGGCAAAATGACTTGGACGCTGGAGTTAGATTCCTGCCAGGGGCCTGGATTTATATCTTCACCGTCTGTCTCTTAACCAATAAGTATTATGAGCTATTTTCCCGGAGACAACGCTACCGAAGTATAGTATTCACCTATATCTAGTGCCAGGTTCTAGAATGCGTGGAGATTTACAGCATATTTATATACGCTTTAACGGAATACAAGGCGAGTTTGACTTATTCCTTTGCTGGAAGTAAGTTTTAAAGACTTGGACTATGGTGTGGTCCATTGTTTGAAACAAGTACTTTGGAGGATTTTAAGCTCTCGCAGCAGTCTTTATGGAGAGTACTATCTTCTGAGATACACCGCCGTATAGTCAGTTGAAAGTCAAGTGACGTTTCGGAGGGACATATCACTTCCATCTTCAGGTTCGAAGAATAAGCCGAACAAGATATCTTGTTGCCACTTGCTTTCAAGCTGGTATGGCATAGAAACCTCTCCGATTGCAAACATGTCGAGATATTTATAAAGCAA